TGAAGGTGGCGCTTTCCTACGGCAGCCATCTTGGATGGTACACATACACAACTCTGCATTGTTCCGCCATCTTGTCAGCACTCTAGTTGTTTAATAGCTCTATGGTTTAATCAAGGTAATTCAACAAAAGGACGCACATCTCCGCTCTCGAACATAGCGCGTGCGTACAGTCCTTTGATCTTTACTGTGGCATCGACAATCCGATACTAGTTGCGAGTACAGCCGTCAATTATTAGTCTGTTAGTTTTTATTTTATTAATTTTGGGTACTTCGCAATGTCTGTTACATTTGATTTTTTTTTACCGCGAGCTTGTTAAATGCTTCTATAAACTGCAATTTGATTTGTGAAAATTGACCAAGAAAATTAAAAGTTATAGCAATTCAAAATTTACGATTTTTATAAAATTTCATGTTCTTATGTAACATTAATCTGTCATTTTGACAATGTTGGCATAAGGTGCCGAGGACGAACATTTGAGTATATACGGAATATTTATTAATTTTTTCTGCGAAGTGAGTCTCATGAACGACAATTCACCACAATTTTGGTAAAATTAATGTTGAAATGAAGAATATATTTCAGTCTAATGTTAGTGCAAAATATCATTAAGCCTTTGTAATCACCGCACGACGCGCGACTAACATGGCAACTAACACGCGCGTGGGTAAATCGTCACGTACGCTGACGGTTTATGGTCTGGTTGCTATAGTTTTTGTGACGTTCAGCGTGTAGGGACGCACGTGCGCCTAGAATGTCGATGCCAGAGTTATAACCTTTGATGTCCCGAGATGTGCGTCCTTTTGTTGAATTACCTTGGTTTAATATTTCTCACGACGGCTTAAGACTGTCCCCGACGATAAATCGGGTCGGGCTGCGTCGGCCGACGCTGTCTGAGTTGGCCTTTAGTGTTAATAACGGACTTTAATGGACTTTCTGGACATTATATAAATTGACATATTGTTATTAGGCATACATTATTATTATTATTATTATTATTATTATTATTATTATTATTATTAGGCCTAATGCTAGGACCCTTATAAGCAAGTGGTTGCAGCTGTTCGTGCACTTGTTTTATAAAGAATTGATCACTGCAATTCTTTGTACTCTGAGTTGACTGTAACAGATTCTCTAAAATACAGAAGTTGCAGAATTTTGCTGCACGTTTAATTTTTAACACCCGATCCTCTCATACTCACACATCACATCTTCTCCGTGAACTTCACGGTGTATTTCATATTAATGGTCCTTGCATTCAAAGCATTGTCTGACCTATGCCAGCAATACATCTCTGAATTTTTATTTGTACGTAAAAAGAAAATTCGTACCAGATCAGCTTTGAACATTAATTTTCATGAACCTAGAGTTAACAAGCGTATTGGTAACAAATCTTTTACGTGAGAGGTGCAACTCATCCAGAATAACCTTCCAGTGCACATTCGATCTTCACCATCTGTGGCTGTCTTTAGGTCTAACTTAAAAACTCACCTCTTTAATTAATTATCTTCATTTTTATTTTTATTTTATTTATTTTTGCATTATTTATTTATGATTCTGAATTTTGTCACTGTTTCTTTTGATTTGTTTACTTGTTCTGTGCTTGGGTTAGGCAATGATCATGACTGCCTGTGGGTTATGAGGTGCCTAAATATGTGGAGTGCAGCGCTTCGTATCTGCAAAAAAAAAGGCGCTTTATAAAGTACGGTACCTGATTGGATTGGATTGGATTGGATTGGAAGTCTCAAACGAATTCTTAATTCTGATTGGATGTTATTGTCCAATGCAATCCGGAAATATAATAACATCCAATAAAAATTAAGAATTTGTTAAAGATTTTATAGCAGGCCAGAATCTAAAAGAGGTTTGTTCGACCGAACCTCATTTTCAGAGAGATCTACCTCTGAAAAACAATTCTCCTTACATAAGAAATTAAAAAATAATCAAAATAATGCTTCATCTCCAAGGTGCACCTGATCCCCAAATGAGCACTCTTCTGGACTTTACATGTACCCATGACGCCAATCTCCCAACTTCTGGGGCTCTCAATAAAATCCCCTTAGGCTTGTAAAGTTATGGTTACAGCCTGTCATGATATATAATATATCTGAACTATAATTAAACTCAAAGCTCTTCTACACAATCATTATTTAGTGTGATTATAAATAGAGTAATATTGTCTTATCTTAACCCTAACGATTGTTTCTCATACAGGAGATGATGACTATCCTGGCAACATAGGACTGTTCGATCAGCTCGAGGCTTTAAAATGGGTGAACAAAAACATTGGAGGTAAACAATGCTTATCAATAATATTTTAAAAACTAACCTGCCAGCGTTTAATAATATAATATAATTATATATATATATATATATATACATATACTGT